TTGGGACGTCCTCCCGACGTGAAAAGCGCTATATCAAATGCAAGGATATTATTATTATTATTACTCTGTGAAGCGTTTTGAGATGTTTTCTATGACGTGATAAGGCGCTGTGTCAAATGCAATGATGATTATTATTGCTATCTATCTCAGAGGCCTTTTTTTTAAGATAATTAAAAGTAATCAAAGCTGATTTAATGCTCATTGTCTGTGGACAGGACTCCGGCCTTAGGGAATGTCAGAATCGAGCCCCCCTCTATGACGGTCTCTGGTCCGGTCCCTGAGCCAGGAGGGTCCACAGTATCCCAGGGAACCGGTGATGACAGCACAGCCCGGCCTGGCTCATCAGCAGGACCTGGGCAGAGCAGTCACTGGGGCAGGGAATCCTCCCCCTCAGCTCCTGTTAACACAGCAGCCAAAGCCCTGACTAACGGGGAGGGTGGTCCTCGCTGGACAAGCAGCGGGAAAGCGAGTCAATGGCAAACTATGTGGGTTTAGCTGGTTAGCCTCCAGCAGTTACCCCAACGCACACTCTGGGGTCCACAATGATTATGGAATATAATTAATTTCAGTCATTCGATTATGTAGAATCATAGAATATTACAGCACAGACGGAGGCCATTCAGCCCATCGGGCCTGTGCCGGCTCTTTGGAAGAGCTTCTCAATCTTTTCCCAATTATCTTAAATCCATGTCCCCTGGTTACTGACCCACCCGCCATGGAAGCAGTTTCTCTCTGTTCATCCTGTCGAATCCCTTCATTATTTTGATCACCTCTATTAAATCTCTCCTTAACCTTCTCTGCTCCGAGGAGAACAATCCCAGTGACCACCATACAACAACAACAACAACATCATACATGTGGAAAGCGCCTTTCACAAAAGAGGACGTTCCAAGGCGCTGGACAGTCAGTGTTTCAGACCCGAGCTGGGGGTCGGGATCGGGGTGGATTGAGGGCGGGGGGGGATCAGGGTGAGGGAAAGCACGATCGAAGACTCGGGTCTTGAGATGGGTCTTGAAGTAGGTGAGGGAGGGGGGAGGCGGAGGGACTGTGGGATGGAGTTGCAGAGGGAGGGGCAGAGTGGCAGAAGGCAGAGCGCCCGCCAACAGTGGGCAGGAAATCAGGCCATCTATTATATAGAATCATGGAGACGGGGAACGTGAAGCAGACCACAGCGCACTGAGCGGAGGGAGTGGACAGGATGGTGGGGGATTAGGAGGTGGCAGAGGTCGGGGGAGCAAGACCATGGGGGGCTGTGAAAGTGAGGACCAGGATCTTCAACTGTCTCCTCTGGGGAGGGGAAGCCGGTGGGGTCAGTGGATTACAAGTTAATTGGTGAGTTTCAGGAGAGAAAACAGTGTTTCCATCACATGACAAACAGTGCGATCAAAGCTCGAACATTAATGCTCTCCAACAATTGTTTTACTCACTTTGTTCTTTGCTCTTTGCACATTGTTGATGTTCTCATACACGTTGGGAGCAGTAACTGTAAGAATAGGTGTCAAGTCATCCAAACTCTGCAGCTCATGTCCTCCCCCGGACCAGGCTCCGTGACCCCATCACCCCCACCCTCGTCCGGCTCCACTGGATCCCCATCACCGAGAGGACAGAGATCAACATCCTCATCCTCACCTTCAAAGCCCTCCATGGCCTTCCCTCTTGCTACCTCTGCCCTGCTAACCCCTTACCAACCTGTCCCCTCCCTCCGCTCAGTGGGCTCCGACCTGCTTCACATCCTCCGCTGACCACCCCACCATCGACGGTCGGGCTCCAGCCTCTCTGCCCCCACCTTCTGGAACTCCATCCCACAGTCCCTCTGTCTCACCCCCTCACTTGCCTCCTTCATGGCCCGTCTCAAGTCCCTCTTCTTCAGCCGACCATGACTTTGGGCCGTCCTCCCACCCTCCCTTACCCCAACCCCCACCCACTCCCTGAGCCCAAATCCCTGACTGTCCCGAGTCCTGGGAGGTCCTCGCGATGTGAAATGCCATCGTGTGTAAATGTCGTGTTGTATGTATCGGGTGGAACAGGAAGCAGTCTCTCTCGTCAGGAAGGGGGTTAGGACTCGGGCCCAGGGATTGGAGAGACAGGACGGTGATCTGATCACAGTGGTTTATCTCACACAGAGCAAAGCTGAACCAGACATCCGTAACACACAGAGAGCTGTGCTTTGTGTTGGGTTGAATGGAGATGCTATTTGCTTTGGGAAATGGATGTTGACTTGAATCAATAGACACTTTTGTTACAAAAGACGGAATTTCTGTCTGTGAATCTTGGCTTTGACCAACAATTATACACCACTTTCTCTCTTCAGTGAGTTCTGGAGAATATTCCTCAAACATACCTGTCAGGTTGCTGTACTCTGAAGATTGTGGTCCTATTCTCTGTTAAAGTCAAGAGAGAACTTGTTTCAATTGCCTTTTCTTAGTAAAAGCTCAGAATCATAGAAAGTACAGCACAGACAATAGGGCACATTGAGGTTTTGTTGGTAATTTTGCCAGTTTTCTGTCCTCATTTCGTGGCCAACAATCCCCCAAATAGAATTGGCTATCTTTACAAATGTAATTTTGTTGTTGTGTCAGTCTGGTTCAGTTTCTAGGTCTTTTGCCTCTGAGTTACGAGATTGTGGATTCAAGCTCCAATCTGGGACTTGAGACCCATATAGTCAAGGACATAATAATAATAATAATAATAATAATAATAATAATGATAGACATGCCAGTCCAGTGCCGGGCGTGTGCTGTCCTTTGGATAACAACACAAATGACATTTCCAAGGTGCTGGACAGTCAGGGATCTGCACTCAAGCTGGTTGTTGGGATCAGGAGGGGGAGAGGGTGGGGGTAGGAGGGTGACCGAAGGCGCGGTTGGATGGTCTTGAGACAGGTCTTGAAGGAGCGAGAGAGGGGCGCGGCAGAAGACTGTGGGATGGAGTTCAGGAGGGTGGGGGTAGAGAGGCTGAACCGACTGAGCTAACTATTAAGCAGCTTATCAGAATAATGGGTAAAAAGAAAGAGAATTCATGTGTCTTACCGCTGTGGCTGTATTGGCTCCACTGTTAGATTGATGCGGTGCTGTAAGACAAAAAATACATATTATTGGACAAAGCGGCTTTCACAGGAAAGTGTGGGTTAGAGTGAGGACCTGTTTCTTTCAGACGGACATTCTATTTTCTCACAGGAACTAAAGGGTTCATATCACAGAGATTTTCACAGTCAACATTGAGTAAATGACAGACAAACTGTGCTCATGGAGTTCATCTGTGTAAACAAATTGTTTAATGTAGAGTCCAGGCACAGACGATCGGTTGACTACAAACTGGAAACTTCTGTTCTTAGTCCCTCAGTTTCCGATAAAGGGAACATATTAACGGTGAAGGGTAACAGAATATGTGTGAAGATTAAACCAGAAGTCCTATTTTTAAATGGGAGTTAAAATAATCTGAATGTCTGTACCCACTTCAATTTTAAACAATAAGAATAATGTTCTCAATAAAATAGTGCACATAAACATAATTTTTAGTGGACATAGAGTAATTATTCCTTATTGTAGAGTGGTTATTCCATTTAGCAACCATTGCCCTATTTTGCAGGTCAGATGGTGTCTTAAATCTGTAACGGAGAACAACAGGACCTGCTGGAATCTGTCTTCTCCATGACCACTGTCAACATTACTCCTCGGCAGTTGGTAGGTACAATTATCCCAGTGAGAGATCTTTTTCTCATTCCCTCCTAAAAATAATGGATTGTTTTTGTGTTTGTATTTTTTTCTGTTGAAATTAGGGGATCGTATTTGAAGTAGTTACAGTTGTTTAGCTGGAAGTACAGCTGGAGGCAAGAGGCATGTGATGTGGCAGATGATAGCTAGAGATCAATTGTTTGAAACTCTCAATGTGATAAAGAAGAATAGCAACAACACAAAAACATATATGTACAGTAACACCTAAAAGAGAATATACTTCACATTCCTCCGAATGAATGAATGATTTCTTAATTTATAAAAGTTTGACTGAAGGTGCCATTCCCACATCCTTTTTCCATCTGTTGAAATCATGTAAGTCAGTCACAGTCATTCTGAAGTTGGCTTAGGAAATGCATGAATGTGCAGGAGGATAACAGCGAGGGGAAACATGAGCAAAGTAGAAAGTGATGTTCAGAAACTTTAATTGAGGTCTAATTACATTGAAGGTTCTGCTCTTTCCTTTGCACTGTGGCATATTCTGTTTGTGATGGAGGGACTGTGTCGAAAAATATGATAGAACTTAGACCTACGCACTTTGGGGTGTCTGATTTCTAAAGGGAGGCTCAAGCTTCGTCTTGTTCTCGTAGTAAGTATGCAAGGAGCTTAATTGCAAAGCATGATATGAGGATTACATTAGTTTTGTTAATTCAAAGCTACAGTGGGGTGTAGCAATATATTAAATGGTAAATTAGAGCATTTCAATTAAGCCAAATTACTGAAATGTTGCGTTGGCATAGCAGCTTGTTATACGCTACAACTAGTTTACTTACTGTTTCCTGTTGCAGCCATTGTGACACCATTTTGATGATGTGATCCACTTTTCGCCCTAAATGAATGTTACATAACAGATCGTTTTGTAGATTTCTCAACAAGAGTATTTTACATAGATTTACATATAGATTTACATAGACTGTACAGCAGGGAAAGAGGCCATTTGGCCCACTGTGACGTTGCCGTTTATACTTCCACATGAGGGTCCACCCACTCCTTACTCCCTCCCACAGCCTTCTATTCCCTTCTCCCTCATGTGTATACCCGTCTTCCTTTTAAATGCATTTTAATCCGCGCAGAAAGTTCCTGGTACTTATTAATCAAACTACAAGTGAGGCCCAAAACCTACGCTTGTCAGATGACAACTGGTCACTATCCTCCTGGGGGGTGGGGTGTTAGGGATGGGGGAAGGTTGGCTAAACTGGCTCCAAGATGAGATTTTTGGCAATCTAAGTCGTCCAGTTCCTGAGCCAGGGGGGTCCGCAGTACTCCAGGGCACTGCTGATTACAGCACAGCCCACCCTGGCTCATCAACAGGACATGGAAGGAAAGACCAGTCACTGGGGGCAGGGAAACCTCCCACTCAGCTCCTGTTAACCCTGCAGCCAAAGCCCTAACTAACAGGTAGGGTGGTCCTCGCTGGGCAAGCAGTGGGAAAGTTGCCAGATAGCGCTGTTCCCTGTTAAACGTGTCTTCTCTAGTGATAACCATCTTTCTTCTATTTTGTGAAGGTTGTAGTTTTCTTACTCCTGTTGCAGGCTACAGCATGTACTCGCAAATCCCAAGAGTGCTTTCCATCTGCACACCAGACTGCATTGTCATAATGATAATAATCATTGCATTTGATACAGTGCCTTATCATGTCTTTGAGACGTCTCAAAATGCTTCGCAGAATATACTGTAGAATGAATTGACTGTATATTTTGTGTTCGAAACGGAGCAGCGAATTGCGCTACAGAAGGTCCCATAAAGAGTCATGGATTGAAGTGACCAACTTATTATATTTTTTGAAGGAATTATTAACCCGGAAAAGTGATGTGCCAATCGACTAACAACCGGGTTCCTACTTACTTTTTAGTAAATGGAGGCATGTGTGTGGAGTAAGGAAACTCCACCCTTCCAGATCTGTCGCTTCTGAGGTGAGTGCTCTGACCAATAAGCTACAGGTCTCCATAGAGCGATGTTGCTATCTTATATTTGTATTCCTGGTGAAATTTGTATTTCGATGATGGGAGAAGATCCAAGATCAAATGGAAGAGTACTATTATAACCCACACTAAACTCTACCCCATCACACCAATCCGCGCCAGGCTCCACTATCACAGAATGGATCGATTTCAAGATCTTCTCACCCGTCTACAAATCCCTTCAGGCCCTGACACCTCCCTACCTCCCCGACCTACTTTCTCCCCAACCCATTACCCACTGCCTCGCTCGGTTGGCTCCGGCTTTCAGACACTACACCCCGAAGCTTTGAAACTCTCTCCCCCTATCCCTCCGCTTTGCCACCTCCTTTCCCTCTTTTAGATCACGCCTGAAGACTTTGTTCTTCGACCACGCTCACGGTCACCTCCTCCCCCCGGCTCGGTGTCAGGCTCCGTCACAGCACTCCGAGACGCTACACCATGTGAGGGACGCTATATAAGCTGTTGTTGATGAGTGAATCTCCAGTAAGAACTGGTGGTTCTTAAAAGCATTTACTTCTGAAATAATTTTACGCGAGAGCCACAGACTAAAAGTACTAAAAGTGAATATGCAGTTTAATATGTGTTGCTGTTGAACTACAGGCACAAGGCATCAATATAAATGTAAACAGAATGTCAGCTTCTAGTTTTTTCTCTTTCAACAAATATATCCAAATGGAAATCTTATTCCAGCAGGGCAAGAAAGCAAAATGCATTGCTTGCAATCCCTGGAAACCTAAACTTTTCTTGCAGCAAGGAAATAACATTGCTTTCATAGAATAGCCTGTCCGCGCTCTCCGCTCAGCAGGCTCCGGCCTACTTCACGTCCCCCACCCCACCCACCCCACCATCATCAGCTGGGCCTTCACCTTAGGGAACTCTAACCCACATTCCATTCCCCTCGCTCCCTCCCTTGCTTCCTTCAGGGTGCGTCTCAAAATCCTCTTTGCCTGAGCCTTCGGCCACCCTCCTACCCTCCCTGCCCTCCCCAAACCCGATCCCCAAATCGGGTCCAAGTCTCTGACGAGCAGCACCTCGGGATGTATAGCCCCTTTCCGATTTGAAAGGCTCTATACAAATGTAATATTGCATAGAATAAGAAATACAAAAAGGGAGGCAATCGGCACTACGTAATAATCCTTACATTTGATACAGTGTCTTATCCTGACGTCGAAATTTCTCAAAGCGCTTCATAGGATATGTTGTAAAGTGGTGTGACTGAGTGTGTTTTGTAGGCAAACACGGCAGCCAATTTGCACACAGCTATATCACACGATCAAGTGGTACATAAAGGATATGACATGGAGAATGTATCACAGCAAAAAGAGAGAAACTTGGATATGAAGCAGCAAACAATTATAACAAATACAGACAGTCATAAAGAATGAGGCGTTCTTTACCATCTTCACAATAAAGTAGCATTAAGATTCTTATAGAAGTATTTACCTTCCTTTTACTTTGACGACCCATACGACAAGTGCAGTAATCAGAGCAACGCCAACAATACAGGCAATCACTATTCCTGCTATCGCTCCACCGCTTAAACTGTTAGGAGGACTGCCTTTGGCTGTAAGATAATAAAATCAAATATTCCAGTCAGACGAGACAAAGTACAATTTCAGATAAATAATGTTACCCGAATACAAATATTTAAATGCCGGGGAACAGGTGTGAAATGTAGTTTGATTTCAACAGACTGAGAATTGAATCATCAATGACCTATCTACAGCTTTCCAGCAGAAAGATGAATTAATAATAGCTAATGGTATTCACATGTGTAAGAGAATGGTTCTTGCCATAATGATATGCAACATTATATTTCACTGCCTTCTTTTCCTTGTTCCTTCCTCCATTCATTTAGATCACCCAGAAATCCGTCACAACAACAACAAATTACTCTTGTATAGTGCCCTTCACATTGGAAAAATGTCTCAAAGCGCTGAACAGTCAGGGAGTTTTGGACCCGAGCTGGGCATTGGGGTCGGGAGGGGTGGAGGTGTGGGTGGGAGGGTGGCCGAAGGCACGGTCAGAGAGGAAGGTCTTTAGACGGGGCTTGAAAGAGGTAAGAGAGGCGGTGAGGCTGAGGGATTGCGGGATAGAGTTCCAGAGTGTGGGAGCAGAGATACTGAATCCCCAACCGCCAATGGTGGGGCGGGAAGTGTTGGAGACATGAAGACAGTGTCCACCAGAGGAGGGAGCGGGCAGCCTAATATGGGGTTAGAAGGTCAAAAAGGAGGAGGGAGCAATTCAGTGGAGGGCTTTGAAGGTGAGAATGAGAGTTTTGTACTCTGTTCTCTGAGGGCCAGAATGCTGAAGGGGACACAGACAGAGTTCCACATATGCATCAAAGTTCCCTTTGTCTGGAATGAAGATAATATTCTCTCCTCAGATGAATGCCTCTAACCCTGGAAAGTATTAGGCACAGGTTGGCAGCAGTCAAGGCTTAGGAGATTGTCTTGGAAGCTTCCCGTTGCTTGTTCTGTGAAACTGTCACTGTCACTTTCACAGTGAGACCTTGGTTTAGATATGGTCAACTGGGCCCAATGTTTTAGTGACAGCGCTATAAGTGAAGTGCGCTATAACGCCCAACTTCTTAACTTCCAATCATCAGGTCTCTGCTGATGTCAATTCCTGCACAAAATGAGCAGGAAACTCCACTTTGAGTGAAGTCAAGGACACTTATTGTGCCGTTCAGTAGCTCAGTGGTTAGAGAGCTTGTATTGCAAGCGAGAGGTCCCGGGTTCAATTCCTGTTCAGGGCGAAATGTTAGGCAAATTCCCTTACTCCACACACACACACACAGCTCTGTTTACTGAGCAGTAAATAGGAACCCGCCTGTTAGTCAATTGGCGGATCGCTTTCCAGGGGTAATAATCCCTTCAAAAACATTTAAAAATGAAAAAATGATAATAATTTGGTCACTCAATCCACGACTGTTTGTGGGACAGGGCTGTGCGCAATTAGCTGCCATGTTTGGCCCACAAAACACACAGTCACTGCACTTGACAGTGTATCTTTTCAAGCGCTTTGAAACGTCTCAAAGACATGATAAGACGCTATTATTATTATTAATCTTGGGACGTCCTCCCGAAGTGAAAGGCGCTTTACAGATGTAATTTTGTTGTTGTTGCTGGTTTCTGCGTAGTGCAAGTCAAAGGCACACACAATGTGCAGGAATTGATGTTAGCATTGCAAGAGAGAGAGAGAGATAGATAGAGAGGGAGTGTGTTTCCTCCTCGTCTTCTCCAGGTCTGTCTGTCTGTCTGCCTGTCTGTCTCTCTCTCAGGCTCCTCATTCTCTCTCTGCCATAGTCCCACTCTCTCTTGTCTGTCCGTCTGTCTGTCTCCCCCCTTTCTCTCTGTCTCCCCCTTTCACTGTCCACTCATGAACGCTGCAGTTCATGACTATTTTTGGTAATATTTGGAGGTTATAAACATATAAGGGCACAGAAATGTTTGAGATCCCTAAACTGTTATGAGTTCAGTAGAATTTCTTTGCATTGTTGGGTCAACTTTAAACATTTGTAGTTAACTGCACTTATACAGTTAAAGGAAAAAATACAAGTAATGGTGCATTATTTTTAAGCAAGGTTCAAAATCTTACTGTCAATCACACTGTGATCTGTGAGATCCACTCAATTTTCCTTAAGAGTTTAAAGGATTTTGAATGAACCCGATTCTGTAAATGTATGAAAACAGACAAAGGGGAAAACTAAAGGGATGAGAGAGAGAGAGAAAGAGAGCGAAAAAAAGAGATGAGAGGGAGAGAGGAAAACAGAGAGATAGACAAGAGAGAGTAAGGGAGATTATATAAGGAGGGTAATAATTCCTTCAAAAAATAATAATAAATTGGTCATTCAATCCACGACTGATTGTGGGACACTGCCATAATTCGCCCACAATATATAGTCCATTCACTTCACAGTAAATTCTGTGAAGCGCTTTGAAACGTCTGAAAGACGTGATAAGGAGCTATATCAAATGCAAGGATTATTATTATCAATTATTATTATAGACAAGAGAGAGTAAGGGAGATTAAGAGAGAGGGAGACCAAGAGGAAATAGAGAGACAGAGAAAGGTGGTGACAGACCCAAATGGCACGTGGACAGATTTTCGGAGTTTAGCATTCTCCTCCAAGGCACACAATCATCCAACACAATAATTATTAATAATCCTTACATTGGATATAGCACCTTATCATGTTGTCGAGATGTGTCAAAGCGCTGCACAGGATGTAATGTAAAGTGCACTGATATTTTGTGGACAAATGTAGGAACTATTTTATGTTCAACAATATCACATGAACAGTTAATGACCAATTTTATTTGGGGGAAGTGCTCTGAGACGCGACCCTACGGGAGGGGTGCTATATATATGCAAGTTCTTCTTGTTGTCAGCCATGAAACTCAGAGAGAGAAACTCCATTCTGTTGTCAATAGTACTGTGGGATCTTTAATGTCTACATAGACAGTCACAGCATTCTTCAGTTTTAACAACTCATCCGTTAGTACCTCTAACTCCTCCGGCTCCGGTCTGCTCCACATCCCCCGCCCCAACCGCCCGACCATCGGTGGCCCTCAGCCTCTCAGCCCCGAGGCTCTGGAACTCTATCCCCAATGCCTTCGCCGCTTCCTCCCCTTCCTCCTTCAAGGCCGGTCTCAAGACCTTTCTCTTCGACCGTACCTTCAGCTCCACTCTCGACTCTCTACCCCCTCCTCGCTCCCTCCCTTCCCTCCCCTCACCCTGACCATTTCCCCCCTCCTCGCTCCCTCCCTTCCCTCCCCTCACCCTGACCATTTCCCCCTCCTCGCTCCCTCCCTTCCCTCCCCTCACCCTGACCATTTCCCCCCTCCTCGCTCCCTCCCTTCCCTCCCCTCACCCTGACCATTTCCCCCCTCCTCGCTCCCTCCCTTCCCTCCCCTCACCCTGACCATCTCCCCTCTGCTCGGGTCCCGACCCAAATGTCCAGCGCCTTCGGACGTCCTCCTGACGTGAAAGATGCTCTATAAATGAAATCTTGTTGTTGTTGTAACACATCACACCCCAGCACTGCGTTGCAGTGTCAGCCTCGACTATACAGGTTCCAAGTTCCAATGTGGGGCTTCAACCCACAATCGTCTGATTCAGAGGCAAATGTGCTACAAACTGAGCCATACTGACAATGAGGCAATCAAACTCCACCACAGTTAGCAGAACATAAGCACAAGATCAACTCCTAATATTTGTTTCTTCAAGTATGTCAGTATGTTCATGTCAATCAGACAGAGCATCATTGGGCCTGGATAAAAGAGTGGCAATATAAATATAAATTTGCATACGGGGTCTTCTGTGAATCGCACAAAAACTACTTTTCAACTTCCACTCTTAATTCTAGATTCACTGATGTTGATAACTGTTCATAACTTATTAAATTACAAAACCTCGCTGCCTGACAAGTGTAACTCCCACGGTCAGTCGGGCTTATTTGATCAATGGTGAGCTGTGGAGTTGTGTGTGACAGAACGGTGCCATTATATATCCATTTATACTGAGCTTCTGGGTTTGACTGAGCAGAACAAGACAATGTTAGAGAGTCTCCAAGTTCTGCTGAGTGTGTCCCAGTGATTGTAAGCTCAGGGGTGTCTGGTCCATCTGCAACAGACGCAAGAACGGCTTCTTTATTACCACTGAACGTAAAGCATAAGATTGAAGCCTTATTCTGAGAGGTGACTGAGTACTTACACGCAAAGCTCAGTGTATAGCTGCCGGACACAGAGCTAAAGCTATTCTTTGCCTCACACCGATATGTTCCACCATCATTTCTAGTCACACTGATGATGGTCAGGGTGGCATTATTCTGGGAGATTGTGATCCTGTCATTGCTGTGGAGAGCTCTCTCATCCTTAAACCACAACCGTGACTCAACAGTGCCTTTAACATCACATGTCAGTGTCACATTGTCAGTGTATTTTATCGGGTTGGGAGTGTTGCTTGTTACGGTGACGCTGGTGATTTTTTCTGTAAATAGAATGATAATAGAATCATACAATTATAAACCAGTGGTTATGCTGAATTTTTTGACAAAGTTATTCTTTTGGTTTCTGGTTTTGAATAGTGCTGTAGCTCAGTGGTTAGAGCACTCGTCGCGCAAGCGATTCCTGGGCAGAGCGAAACATGGAGCTTGTTTCTTTACTCCACACACATTCACACACATCTCTGTTTATCTATGAGTGTGTAGAAACCTGGTTGTTAGTCGATCGGTGGATCAATTTTCCGGGGGTAATAATTCCTTCAAAAAATAATACTAATAATTTGGTCACTTCAATCCATGACTGTTTGTGGGACACTGCTGTGCACATTTGGCTGCCGTGTTTCGCCCACAAAATATTCAGTCACCACACTTTACAGTATATTCTGTAAAGCGCTTTGAGATGTCTCGAAGACGTGATAAGGCACTGTATCAAATACAAGGATGATTATAGTATCATGATCTGTTTGCCACATACCCAAGGACTGACACAGCGGACCTTTATCAGGAGAATTCTAACCCCATCAGAAGGCATTGCTGGAGTCCATAACACTGTAATCTGCCTCATAGCGCAGTGTGATCAGCAGTCGCTGCTCGTCAGTGATGACATGACTGTGGCTGCTTGGTTTTCGGAACCGAAAACAGACCAACGTCAGGGTCACCACTATAATAATAATCATCGTCCTTGAATTTGATATAGCACTTTTCACGTCTTCGAGACGTCTCAAAGCGCTTCACAGAATATATTGTAAAGTGAATTGACTGCATTTTTTGTGAGCAAAACGCGGCAGCCAATTGCGCACAGCAGTGTCCCACAAACAGTTGTGGATTGAAGTGACCAAATTATTATTGTTTTTTTTGAGGAATTATTATCAGGCATGTGGAGAGGTGAGGGAAGGCAGAGAGGTGGGAGGAAGACCAAACTTGCCCAAGGTTTCGCCCTGCCCGGAATCGAACAGGTCTCTCGCTTGTGAGCCGAGCGCTCCAACCACTGAGCTACAGCACTCCAGTTTGGATCAGTTCCTGTACATGTTTGTTATGTGCAAAGCTTTGTGCTTTTTTTAAAACTAATCCGGAAGCCTTCCTTTCTTGTGCTGAAGACAATCCATGCTTGAAAATAAACTCTACATTATAACCGGACCCTCTTAAAGAGAGTTCGACAGTGCCATTGTTTTCCTTCATTGGTATCAGTCCTTTTCACTTTGCTGTAATAATCAATAACCACATTAAGCAAACTGACCATCCTGAATACTGATCCAAGAATAATACTGAAGGAATTAATAGTGACTCAACCCTTAGACTAATAATAATAATCCTTACATTTGATTCAGCGCTTTTCAAGTTTTCTCGGCATCTACAGCGCTTCACAGAATATACTGTAAAGTGAATTGACTGTATATTTGTGGGCGAAACGCGGCAGCCAATTGTGCACAGCAGTGTCCCACAAACAGTCGTGGATTGAGTGACCAAATAATAATTTGTTTCTTGAGGGATTATTATCAGATTATTATAATATCATACTGACAAGCTTCCGGCCCTTGTACTGAACAGTATAAGGGTCGGATGAGACATTACATCCTGCCTTCTGTCCAGGTGGACGTTAATTATAATCTTTGCATTGATTACGGGAACTCGCTCCTTATCGGCCTTCCCAACTCTTCCCTTCACAAGCTGCAGATCATCCAAAACTCTGCAGCTCGTGTACTCTCACGCACCAGGCTCCGTGAACCCATCACTCCCAACCTCGCCCGACTCCACTGGCTCCCCATCCCCCGATGATCCCCCGAGGATCGAGTTCAAGATCCTCGTCCTCATCTTTAGGTCGTCCAAGGCCTTTCTCCCTCCTACCTCTCTGACCTGCTCATTCCCTACCAACCTGCCCGTTCCCTCCGTTCATCAGGCTCCGGCCTGCTTCATATCTCCCGCCTGACCTGCCCTATCATATCTCCCCCCTGACCTGCTTTCAGCCTCTCTGCCCCCACAATCTGGAACTCCTTCCCACGGTCCCTTTGCCTCGCTTCCTCCCTGGCCTCCTTCAAGGTCGATCTTAAGACCCTTCTCTTCAATCGTGCCTTTGGTCTCCCTCCCACCTCTCTGCCTTCCCTTACCCCTACACCCCTTCCCCCATGCTCAGGCCCCAGAACCTGACTGTTCAGCGCTTTGGGACGTCCTCCTGATATGAAAGGCGCTCTATAAATTAATTTTGTTGTTGTTGTTGCATTTGATATAGATCTTCATCATGTTGTCGAGATGTCTCAGAGCACTGGGCGAAACGTGGCAGCTAATTGTGCACAGCAGTTTCCCACATACAGTTGTGGATTGAGTGATAAATGTATTATTTGTTTGTTCCCTGAACAATATAGTGTGTCAGCCCGGCTCAATTAGTGGCACTCTCACACATGAATCAGAAGGTTGTAGTTTCAAGTCATTGTCAGTACATTATAAGGAATTATTACCCCCAGAGAAGCCAATTGACTAACAACTGCCTTGGAGAGAATGGCTAATTTTATTTGTAGGATTGTTGGCCGGGACAGAGGAGAGAAACTCTATTTTTGAATAGTGGAAGTGCTGTAGCACAGTGGTTAGAGCGCTCGCCTCACAAGCAACAAACCTGGGTTTGATTTCCAGCAGGGCGAGATGTTGGACAAGTTTACTTATCCACACATCTCTGTTTACCAAACAGTAAATAGGAACCCGGTTGTTAGTCAATGGGCAGTTCGCTTTTCCAGGGGTAATAATTGCTTCAAAAAAAAATTAGTCACTTCAATCCACGACTGTTTGTGGGAACCTGCTGTGCGCAATTAGTTACCGCGTTTCACCCACAAAGTATAGTCAATTCACTTTACTGTAGATTCTGTCAAGCGCTTTTAGACATCTCAAAGACGTGATAAGGTGCTATATCAAAAGCAATGATTATTATTTTTGTTATTTCTCAGAACATTACAGAGGCGAGGTCAACAACTGAGCAGGGAGGATCTTTATCATTGTTGCTGACTCTCTTTTGATAAAATAAAATCTTTGATATTGATATCTATTCCAGCTCTGAAGTTAAAAAAAGTGGTCAAAGCAGTTAAATGCCTAATGTGAGCACATATCTTTCATACAAGATGGAAAATTGAGTTTCTTTTATGCAAATCAGTTAACCAGGGTTGGTAATAAGTAATAATTAGCAACAAAGAAAATGGAAGCTGTTAATCAGCACTTACAGTTAACATTCAGTAAATAAGAATCACTTGTCTTTCCATTCATTATGTTGTACCCAAAACACGTAATTCTCCTGTGTCAGACCTTAAAATTCCAGGTATAGTGAGAGTTCTATTGCCATCACTTAGCGCAATCCTTGTGTCAACATAGATACCATCATTGTCCTTATACCACAGATATGAGACGGCAGTGCCCACTGCAGTGCAGGTCAGAGCCACACTGTCATTATGTTCTACCGGAATAGTGACATTGGAGGTAACAACAGCTTTGAAAACGATCCATCAAAACACAGGAGATTGGTTTAACATGAAATATAATAATAGTCCGTACACTGTGACAGGACCTTTCATGTCAGGCCGATGTCTCAAAGTGCTTTACAGGATATAATGTAAAGTGTGGTAACTGTTTTGTGAGCAAATATAGCAGCCAATTTGTGCAGTGATGCCCTACAAACAGACACACAGTGTTTTTATTTGGGGATTATTGACCAGGCCATCAGGAGAGAGACACTCCCATATCATTTTGAACAGTGCCTTGGGACGTCCTCCCGATGTGAAAGGCGCTATACAAATGTAATTTTGTATTGTACCGTGAGACCTTTATCGTCCACCTGAACAGGCAGATGGGACCTTGCTTAACGTGTTATCTGAAGTATAACACCTTCTACCGTGTATAAGTTCCTGATATGAGGTTTGAATTTACAATTTTCTGATTCATGGGTGATAGTGCTACTAATTAAGCCAATATATTGATGGACTATATTGTTCAGGGACACAAACGAATGCAGTGAATGTGTAATACAAGTTGTAGATGGCATTATCTTTCTGTAGGTTTTGTATAGAACAAGTCTGTTCAGAGAATTCAATGCTTCAATACAGCTCGCTCTTCGAATCACCAATTTGCCAATTTATGTTAATGCATAAATCTAGTTTTTGGTCATTTTCCTCTCCTTAACCCCTCTCCGCCCCCTCCTCAGCTCCATGTCCAGCCAGAATTCTCGAGAGCTTTGGGTGGTCCTTCTGACGTGAAAGTAATGTATAAGTGCGGATTGTATTGCAAATTGTTTTACGATTGTAAATTGGCAATTTGGTAATTCAGTGAGTTCTGTAGCTCAGTGGTTAGAGCGCACGCCTTGTAAGCAAGAAACCTGGGTTCGATTCCCGGCCGGCGAAACGTTGGGCAAGTTTCCTTAATCCACACGTCTCTGTTTACCGAGCAGTAATAGGAACCCGGTTGTTAGTCGATTGGCGGATTGCTTTTCCGGGTAATAATTCCTTAAAAGAAAATAATAATTGGTCACATCAATCCACGACTGTTTATGGAACACTGCTATGTGCAATTGCCTGCCACTCTTCACCCACAAGATAAACAGTCACTTCACTTTACATTGTATCATTTGAAGAGCTTTTAGACGTCTCGAAGACGTGATATGATGTTATATCAAATGCAAGGATTATTATTATTATTCAATCCCAACCAGCGCTATCACGGGATTCAGTCACTAGTCAGTGCTTATTCATTGTATATTGTGTATTCATTGCACATAACACAAAAGAGAAAATGACAGCTATTTTGTGGCAAAGCAGAACTGCCTACTTCTGGTTCACAGTCAATCTCAGATTGCAATCTTTGTCATTTTGTTTCAGTCGTACAGCACACGCCAGGCCACTTGAATATGTTTTTAGTTAAAAGATAAAGCACAGAAAGGCTTTTACGTCATGTAACAATACTGTATTACGTACTTATAACAAGGATTCCGATGTTTGGGTACTGTTAAAAGCCTGACGTGTAATTCCCAGCGGTCTTCAGGGTAATATTGGGAATGCTACTACGTGAGGGGTGCTATATAAATGCAAGTTCTTGTTGTTGTTGTTATTGGCCATTATACCCAGAGAGAGAAACTCCATTCTGTTTTCAAATAGTACTGTGGGATCTTTAATGTCTATGTGGACAGTCACGGCATTCTTTGGTTTAACGTCTAATCCGAAGGACAGCGCCTCTAACACATCACACCCCAGCACTGCATTGCAGTGTCAGCCTCGACTATATGGGTTCCAGGTTCCAATGTGGGGCTTCAACCACAATCGTCTGATTCAGAGGCAAATGTGCTACAAACTGAGCCATACTGACAATGAGGCAATCAAACTCCACCACAGTTATCAGAAGATAAGCACAAGATCAACTCCTAATATTTTATAATATTAAAAAAAATATGTTTCTTCAAGTATGTCAGTATGTTCATGTCAATCAGACAGAGCATCATTGGGCCTGGATAAAAGAGTGGCAATATAAATATAAATTTGCATACGGGGTCTTCTGTGAATCACATGGAAACTACTTTTCAACTTCCACTCTTAATTCTAGATTTTCTGATGTTGATAACTATTCATAACTTATTAAATTATAAAACATCGCTGCATTTGAAACACACGAGTTGGAGCTGAACATCAATGCAATGCATTTGCTACCACTAACATTCACAGAAGAGTATATTGACGGAGCTCTCAACGTACAAAGCTAGAAATGACCACATCATATAGCACATCACAGCAAAGCGCTCAGTGTTATGTACAGTACGTTCACTTACCCTGTAAAGTTACGTTTAATGTTGTCTCATTGACTCTTAAGGTAATGTTGTTACGAGCCTGACAAGTGTAAATCCCAAGGTCACTCTGGCTTATTTGATGAATGGTGAAATTTGAACTTGTATGTGGCAGAACAGTGCCATTAAATATCCATTTATACTGAGCTTCTGGGTTTGACTGAGCAGAACAAGACAATGTTAGAGAGTCTCCAAGTTCTGCTGAGTGTGTCCCAGTGATTGTAAGCTCAGGGGTGTCTGGTCCATCTGCAACAGACGCAAGAACGGCTTTTTTATTACCACTGAATGTAAAGCATAACATTGAAGCCTTATTCTGAGAGGTGACTGAGTACTTACACGCAATGCTCAGTGTGTGGCTGCCGGACTGAGAGCTAAGGCTGTTCTTTGCCTCACACCGATACGTTCCACCATCATTTCTAGTCACACTGATGATGGTCAGGGTGGCATTATCCTGGGAGATTGTGATCCTGTCATTGCTGTGGAGAGCTCTCTCATCCTTAAACCACAACCGTGACTCAACAGTGCCTTTAACATCACATGTCAGTGTCACAGTGTCAGTGTATTCTATCGGGTTGGGAATGTTCTGTGTTACGGTGACACTGGTGATTTTCGCTGTAAATAGAATCATACAATTATAAACCAGTGGTTACGCTGAACTCGGGAACTCCACTCCCAGGTCACTGTGACTCGCTGCCTCCATTCCCTCTTTCGAGGTCACCTCTACACTAACTCTCTGACAAGGCTTCCCCCCTCCCAGCCTCTCAGCTCACACCCTCATCCCCAGTACCAGGCGGCTTATCCCCGGAAACTCTTTGGGACGTCCTCCTGACGTGAAAGCGCTAAACCAAATGCAAGGATTATTATTATTCATAGTAATACTTGTGGCTGAAATGTGGCAGCCAATTGTGCACAGTAGTGTCCACAAACAGTCATGGATTAGGACAACATGAGCCGAATGGTCTCCTTATGTGCTGTAATGTTCTATGATTGTGTAATATTCGATGAGCAGTGGAGGAGGGGGACAAATACTGGGCTGTGTTTTACCGTTTTATTCATAATAATAATAACAACAAACTTTGCATTTGATACAGTGCTTTATCACATCATTGTGACGTCTCAAAGCTCTTCACAGAATATACTGTAAAGTGAATTGACTGTATATTTTGTGGTTGTAACACAGCAACTAAATAGAGCACAGCAGCGTCCCACAAACAGTCACGGGTTGAGTGACTAATCTTTTTGGGGGAGAGGGAGAGATTATTACTCCGGGAAAGTGATCGCCAACGACTAACAACCTGGTTCCTACTTACAACTGGTAAACAGAGGTGTGTGTGTGTGTGTCTGTAACAAGGAAATTGGCTGAGGGTTTTGCCGGGTATCGAGCACAGGTCAAATTAATGAATAATGTTCTACTCGGGTGAGGTACAAGTGGCCACAAGTGTGAAGATATTCATTTTAATTTTCTCCCTAAACTGGTGACGAGGTTAGTGGCCAATAAACCGGGACAGGAGTGGTACACAGACAGGTTATTGTTAACTGTAACTGTTACTTACCCTCCACCTTCAGGGTGACTGTCGCTGTTTTTGAATCGCCAGAGACTGGGATCAAAGTCACAGTGTAATCTCCACTGTCGGTCACCGTCACTGATTTCAGTCGAAGAGACACGTCGGGGAGAGATACCTCAGCCCGGCCTTGGTAATTAGTGCTTACAGATACTATATCCCCGATCCACACAAGTACATCACTGACGCCGAAACTCCAGGTCCCACTCCTCACCTCACCAGACGGTTTCACTGTAAACACAGCCGTACCTCCGGCTGCTGCTGTAATGGGATTCTCTGGTACAGTGATGGTGAACTGTGCTGTAACTGGAGAGAGAGAAAATCCCATTAAGGACAGCGAGACATCGGCTGAATACACATCGACACAGTCCGTCCTGACTGACGGCATCTCTTGTAGGGACGCGGTGAGCAAGTTCTCCTGTCTCTATCGTTAGATCATCTTAAATAAACTCCCAACTGAGAGCGAGTGAGAAAGTGAGACTCACCCACACACACACAGCAGCAAAGAGCAACTACCCCGAGTCGTGCTGTCTGCATCCTGACCTCAGCCTGTGTCCTGGTCACTCAGTCACTGAGCAGCCGGTGTACTGGTCACTCAGTCACTGAGCAGCCGGTGTCCTGGTCACTCAGTCACTGAGCAGCCGGTGTCCTGGTCACTCAGTCACTGAGCAGCCGGTGTCCTGGTCACTCAGTCACTGAGCAGCCGGTGCTGGTTACACTCCGTCAGTCAGTAGAGCTTTCTCTTCTCTCAGCTCTGCACTTATTGAGCAAATAGGAAGTAGGGAGTGGTCGGGAGTCACTGCAGTGTGGTTCCTGGTCGGTGATATGAAATGGTTTGGGCATTTCAAGTCAGAACAGGGTTTGCCCAAAGCCCAGGAGCCGGGACATTGTGAGCTGCCGGACAGCAACACCGCAGCCGTTTGGATCTGTGTTCGTCTCGTTTTAAAATTAGTTTCCAAAATGCTTATGATAATAATAATTGTAATAGTCCTGGCATTTGATACAGCGCTCTCGAGACGTCTCAAAGCGCTTCACTGAATATAATGTAAAGTGACTGTTTTGTGGGTGAAACGCTGCAGCCAATTGGGCAAATCAGTGTCTCACAAACAGTGGTGGATAATGTGATCATAAACCTTGCACTTGGCACAGAGTCTTTCACATGAGGAGAACATCTCAAAGTGCTTCAGAGGATTTGTCACTGTAAAGTGTAGTGACTGTGTATTTAGTAGGCGAACGTGGGAGCTGATTGAGGCTCAGCGACGTCCCACAAACAGCCGTGAAGTGAAGGACCAACACCATGAGGTGAATGACAGCCGCCTGACTGCCCAACAAAGGGCTTCATGTTATTAATCGATATAGAAACTCCGGGTTAGAAATCAAATGTGAATTACTGTTTCCCTGTGATTCCCAATGACACCACTCAATTATTCCATCAACGTTACAGTGAGCAACAGCCCCACCGTCTGTCAGAGCAGCGCTGTTACACAGTGACAATCAGCTGCTTCAAGAGGGAATATTGAGGGGTAAAAGTCTAAACATTTTGTGCCGATCACAAGATCACAAGATCACAAGATTAGTTTGGATCAACAAAGGCCTTTTGGCCGTCTGATCTCATCCCTTCAGCTCAGGCGCCCAACCAACACTTTGGGATGTCCTCCTGACGTGAAAGGCTCTATATGGACACCAGAGACCCAGAGACATTTACAGCACAGAAGGAGGCCATTCAGTCAATCTATCTCTGGGAATTTCCATGTGTAGGTGGGATGCACAGAATTCTCAGCCTGACACAGAGCCTGGAGAGGGCCGGAGTGATGGGTACAGGGTTTAGTGTGTGATAGGGACCCAGTGGGGCCTGGCGAGGGCGGGGGTGATGGGTACAGAGTTTAGTGTGTGATAGGGAGCCAGTGGGGCCTGGCGAGGGCGGGGGTGATGGGGTACAGGGTTTAGTGTGTGATAGGGATGTCTCGAAGGTGTGATAAGCACTATATCAAAGGCCAGGATTATTATTATTATTATTCAGGTATAAGTGTTTGCTCCTGGTCAAATTCTGTAGACTTTTCAGTCACACTGACCAGAATATGATCAGCAGTTCAGCCAGAGATTGGCAAATAAAACAACATCAAGTAAAGCTGTAAGAAGACTGTGCCAGTCCTGCTCGTCACTGGGCGTACACTGTGGTGGGCACTGCCCAGCCCTGGGCTAACAGTTGGTGGGCACTGCCAGCCCTGGGCTAACAGTGTGGTGGGCATGCCCAGCCCTGGGCTAACACTATGGTGGGCTGGTGGCCACTGCCCAGCCCTGGGCTAACAGTGTGGTGGGCACTGCCCAGCCCTGGGCTAACAGTGCCTTTTGCCCTGAGGCTGACAAGCCATTGGCGCTGGGGCTGCAGTAACCTCTCTTGGGGAGCAGCTAAATTGCCCTTTGTCCTTCTGATGAAAAGTTCCTTTGCACTGAGCCCAGTGAGTGGCTTTGTTATTTATTCCTTATTTAATGAACTTTGTTCTCAGCCCAAACCAAACTTGACTTGGACCTTTGACACAGGGAGTGAATCTTGGCCCCATATGGACTGTGCAATGCTACGCAGTGGGGGTTGGGGGGAGCTGGAGCCAACCCACAGCGGAGTGTGGGCTACAGGAAGAGTGTTGGTGTTGGACCAGTGAGATCCCAGTCCTGAGCTCGTAATCTATTTGTTGTGCTTACAAACCCATTACCCACTGGGATGTTTCGGGTGTACTTGGAGCAAACTGGGAACACCCTGGGTATGGGAAACCCCTGGGTGCCGGGAACACCCTGGGGTGCCGGGAACACCCTGGGGTGCCGGGAACCCTGGGGAGCCGGGTACACCCTGGGGTGTTGGGAAACCCAGGGGTGCAGGGAACACCCTGGGGTGCAGGGAACACCCTGGGGTGCCGGGAACACCCTGGTGTGCCGGGAACACCCTGGGGTGCCGGGAACACCCTGGGGTGCCGGGAACACCCTGGGGTGCCGGGAACACCCTGGGGCGCCGGAACACCCTGGGGCGCCGGGAACACCCTGGGGTGCCGGGAACACCCTGGGGCGCCGGGAACACCCTGGGGTGCCGGGATCACCCTGGGGTGCCGGGAACGCCCTGGGGTGCCGGGAACACCCTGGGGTGCCGGGAACACCCTGGGGTGCCGGGAACACCCTGGGGCTGGGACATATCCTTTGTGTTTTGCCGTCTTCAACCTTGAGCCCTGTAGCTCAGTGGTGAGAGCGCTCACCTCACACGGGAGAGGACCAGGGTTTGAATCCCGGGCCGGGCAAACACTGTGCAAGTTTCCTTACTCCACACACCTCTGTTTATCAGCAGTAAGTATGAAGCCGGTCCTTAGTCCATTGGCGGATCACTTTTCTGGGGCTAATAATTTCTTCAAAATAATAATACCTTCAGTCACTTAAACTACGACTGTTTGTGGGACGTCGCTGTGTGCAATTGGCGCCGTGTTTCACCCACAAATACACTTTACAGTATATTCTGTGAAGCGCTTTGAGACGTCGAGAAGACGTGATAAGGCGCTATATCAACTGCAAGGATTATTATTATTATTATTATTATTATTAACAAATGACATTTACACAGCGAGTTTCACGGCGGGAGGACGTCCCGAGGCGCTGGACAGTCAGGGATTTGGACCCGAGTGGGGGTGGGGAGGAGGGTTTGGGATCAGGAGGGGGTGGAGGTGGGGAGGGTGGGGGTAGGAGGGTGACTGAAGGTGCGGTTGGTTGAAGAGGAGGGATTTGAGCCGAGTCTTGAAGAAGGTACAGGAGAGGGTGAGGGGGAGGGACTGTGGGATGGAGTGCCATAGGGTGGGGGCAGAGGCTGAAGGCAGGTTGAAGGCCCGATGGAGGGGCGGACAGGGTGTGGACGTGAAGCACCCGGACCCCACTGAGCGGAGGGAAGGGACAGGTTGGTAGGGGGTTAGGAGGTCCCAGAGGGAGGGAGGAGCAATGCCGTGGAGGGTTTAGAAGGTGAGCTTCAGCTCTTCCAAAACTGTGACACTTCAGTGCTGATCACCGGTCAATACTGGAACATCTATTGGACATTTAAATGCTGTGAAATAAGAGTTTTGTTATCTGGAGACTCAAAGTCAAGAAACCCACGACATTCACTATCTATGTTGTATTTTATGAGTCAGATTTACATCAATAACCACATGATCTGAATAAACAAAGCCAAACCTCCTCTAAATAAAGCTATTGGTGAGATTATAGTGTATTTAGCATTGCACTGGACTTTATTACTAATCACTAAGAAGTCTCAAGCGATAGAATCAATAGTCCCAAGTGAGGGGCAACAGTGTCCTCCTGTCTCAGTTGGTGACACTCTCAGCTCCGAGTCACAAGGTTGTGGGTTCAAACTCCACATCAGGATTTGCTTCAAAAATTCCTTAAATTTAATAATGATAAATTAACCATTTCAATCCACGACTGTTTGTGGGACGTCGCTGTGCACAATTGGCTGCCGTGTTTCGCCACAAAATATAGTCAATTCACTTTATTCTATGAAGCGCTTTGAGAAGTCTTGAAGATATGATACGGCGCTGTATCAAATGCAGGAATTATTATTATTATTATAACACACACAGTCGAGGCTGACACCCCAGTGCAGTGCTGCATTGTTGGAGGTGTTGTCCTTCAGATGAGTGTTTGTGTTTGTATTTGAGTGATCGAAAGGCAATGGAAGGTTTATTTATGGCTTTTGGATTCTCTTTCCCTGAGACATTCTGTGGACTTTGTTTGCAGGAAGAAGTGATTATTTAAGCTGTTGGTTAATGCTGTTCAAGGAGCTATACATTGTACCCGGGCGACTGTTGAACCTTTTTATATCACTCGCCCTTTACTCAGCCGGCAACATGCAATCACACTGTGATAAGGTTTGGAGTTTAAATCACAATTAAAATATATCGTGGACAGTCTGCAGTCCTCACTCAGCAGCACGGCTTGTGTGACAGCCTCTGACTGGTTAGACAGACGGGATAAGCAAAGCTCTTAACGCACCGTCTTCTGTTTTTGCTCTTGTAGTTCAAGTCCACACAGAGGAACTATCTCCTCTGGTGAGTGGGGAATCCAGAACAAGGGGGACATCATCTTATAATCAGAGACAGGACATTCAGGAGTGAAATCGGGGCAGTTTTTTGTCCAAAGTGGAGTGGGAATCTGGAACTCTCTCTCTCTCCCCAAAAGGCTGTGGATTACGGCTGTGGATTCGTTCACATTGTCAACACTGAGATGGAGAGATGTTTGTCAGGTCAGGAGATCAAGGGATATGGGCAAAGGCAGTTGGAGTTGAGGTACAGATCAGCCTTGAGCTTATAGAATGGTAGAACAGGCTCGAGGGGCTGAATGGCCTCCTGTGTTCCTACGATGAATATTCATTGACGTATAGCATCTGTAGAAACAACAGAAACAGTCAATTCTAAGATAAAAATCAGCATTTACAACTACTTGCATCTGTACAGCAATAGTTACATGTTACACCTACAATACACAGTCACAGTAAACTCCTGCCATTCAGCCTGGCTCAGGAACAGGACGAGAGACCGTCACAGAGGGGGGACTCCATTCCCACATTGCGTTGCCAAACACGTCCCCTTGGAGCCCGTTCAGCTCATGATAGGATATAAGATGTGAAAGAGCAGAAATCAGGGCGTGTTTCTCCTGAGACCCCACACGCAGACTGTGTGCACTGTAAATCTCTTGTTGATAAGCTGGTGAGTGAGGGCAGATATCACCTCAGTGTCTGTCATTGATGTGGTCAGACGGTACAAGGTGCAAAGCCAAGAGCTGAGGGAACAGTGCGGTCCATTCACTCAATGTTGTCGCATTGACTCTTAAGGTAACGCTGTTCCGAGCCTGACAAGTGTACCTCCCACGGTCAGTCGGGCTTATTTGATCAATGGTGAGCTGTGGAGTTGTGTGTGACAGAACGGTGCCATTAAATATCCATTTATACTGAGCTTCTGGGTTTGACTGAGCAGAACAAGACAATGTTAGAGAGTCTCCAAGTTCTGCTGAGTGTGTCCCAGTGATTGTAAGCTCAGGGGTGTCTGGTCCATCTGCAACAGACGCAAGAACGGCTTCTTTATTACCACTGAACGTAAAGCATAAGATTGAAGCCTTATTCTGAGAGGTGACTGAGTACTTACACGCAATGCTCAGTGTGTGGCTGCCGGACTGAGAGCTAAGGCTGTTCTTTGCCTCACACCGATACGTTCCACCATCATTTCTAGTCACACTGATGATGGTCAGGGTGGCATTATCCTGGGAGATTGTGATCCTGTCATTGCTGTGGAGAGTTCGCTCATCCTTAAACCACAACCGTGACTCAACAGTGCCTTTAACATCACATGTCAGTGTCACAGTGTCAGTGTCTTCTATCGGGTTGGGAATGTTCTGTGTTACGGTGACGCTGGTGATTTTCTCTGTCAATAGAATGATAATAGAATCATACAATTATAAATCAGTGGTTACGCTGAACTCGGGAACTCCACTCCCAGGTCACTGTGACTCGCTGCCTCCATTCCCTCTTTCGAGGTCACCTCTACACGTAACTCTCTGACAAGGCTTCCCCCCTCCCAGCCTCTCAGCTCACACCCTCATCCCCAGTACCAGGCGGCTTATCCCGGGAAACTCTTTGGGACGTCCTCCTGACGTGAAAGGCGCTAAACCAAATGCAAGGATTATTATTATTCATAGTAATATTTGTGGCTGAAGCGTAGCAGCCAATTGTGCACATTCGTGTCCCCCAATTTTTTTGGTGGGGAGGTATTATTATTACTATTCCCTCCGCTCAGCCGCTCCGGCTGCTCCACATCCCCTGACCCACCACCCCACCATTGGCGGGAGAGCCTTCAGCCCCTCTGCTCCCAACCTCTGGAATTCCATCCCCCAGTCACTCCGCCTCGCCCCCTCCTTCAAGTCCCGTGTCAAGACCCTTCCCTTTGACCAGGCCATCGGCCACCCCTCTTCCCACCCACAGACCCCAGCTCGGGTTTGAAATGCTGTCACTGTCCAGTGCCTTGGGATGTCCTCCTGATGTGAAAGGCGCTGCTCAAATGTCATCTTGTTGTTGTATTACCCCCAGAAACCAATCAGATAATCAACAAGTGGGTTCCAACTTACTGCTGAGTAAACAGAGTGTGTGTGTTTGTGGAGTAAGGAAACCTGTAAGATTTCGCCCTGACCTGACCCGCCTGGGAATCAAACCCAGGTCCTCGCGCTTGTGAGGTGAGTGTGCTATCAAATCACGATTAATGGCTAATTATTCAAGATACAAGTGGCCACATGTGGTTATGAAACTATATTCCAGTAGAATTGTTAGATCCGCGAATTATGTGTCTGTATTTGGAGAGAAAAAATCTGATACAAGTAAACTTAAGAAACAAAGAATGGGTTTTTATTTCTACTTGTTTTCAGGAGCACACAATTGTTCCGGTATACAAATAGGATCTAATGTCTCCGTCAGACAAAAGGTCCTCTTCATCGGTACAATTAAGTTTTATACAGGAGTACACAAAAATACACAGAAGGGGTGTTTTTCCTTACAGACCAATCACGTTTTCCCACATTTCTTGCTTTAGTTAGTTTCAACTGCACTAATCTTACGGTTTTGCTGGAAGGCCATTTCTATGTTATCAGCGCCGTTCCTTAGACTGTGGCCTTCAGATAACGGAATTCTACAATAACAAGTCTAACCTACTTACTTATATCTGCTTAAAAGCGTTTACACAGCGATAGGCCGGGGCACAAGCTACGATATAGTTTTTTAAACATACCATAACATCTTTTTCCTCTATCAGAATGGTAAATGCCTTCAGGACACGAGAGAGAAAATAGGAAAACAGCCCATACTGTATATCTATAGGGTAGAAACACTATTTCTCTGCTTTAAGCAGCTCAGTGACATGAAATGGAACCATCAGATCGGGAGCAGATTGTCCATTTGTCCGGATATAAAACACTTTGTGTGAAGATATTCATTTTAATTTTCTCCCTAAACTGGTGACGAGGTTAGTGGCCAATAACCCGGGACAGGAGTGGTACACAGACAGGTTATTGTTAACTGTAACTGTTACTTACCCTCCACCTTCAGGGTGACTGTCGCTGATTTTGAATCGCCAGAAACTGGGGTCAGATTCACAGTGTAATTTCCACTGTCGGTCACTGTCACTGATTTTAACCGAAGAGACACGTCGGGGAGAGATATCTCAGCCCGGCCTTCGTAATTAGTGTTTACAGATACTATATCCCCGATCCACAGAAGTACAGTCTCGGTACCAAAACGCCAACTCCCGCTCCTCACCTCACCAGACGGTTTCACTGTAAACACAGCCGTACCTCCGGCTGCTGCTGTAATGGGATTCTCTGGTACAGTGATGGTGAACTGTGCTGTAACTGGAGAGAGAGAAAATCCCATTAAGGACAGCGAGACATCGGCTGAATACACATCGACACAGTCCGTCCTGACTGACGGCATCTCTTGTAGGGACGCGGTGAGCAAGTTCTCCTGTCTCTATCGTTAGATCATCTTAAATAAACTCCCAACTGAGAGCGAGTGAGAAAGTGAGACTCACCCACACACACACAGCAGCAAAGAGCAACTACCCCGAGTCGTGCTGTCTGCATCCTGACCTCAGCCTATGTCCTGGTCACTCAGTCACTGAGCAGCCGGTGTCCTGGTCACTCAGTCACTGAGCAGCCTGTGTCCTGGTCACTCAGTCACTGAGCAGCCGGTGTCCTGGTCACTCAGTCACTGAGCAGCCGGTGTCCTGGTCACTCAGTCACTGAGCAGCCGGTGTCCTGGTCACTCAGTCACTGAGCAGCCGGTGTCCTGGTCACTCAGTCACTGAGCAGCCGGTGTCCTGGTCACTCAGTCACTGAGCAGCCGGTGCTGGTTACACTCCGTCAGTCAGTAGAGCTTTCTCTTCTCTCAGCTCTGCACTTATTGAGCAAATAGGAAGTAGGGAGTGGTCGGGAGTCACTGCAGTGTGGTTCCTGGTCGGTGATATGAAATGGTTTGGGCATTTCAAGTCAGAACAGGGTTTGCCCAAAGCCCAGGAGCCGGGACATTGTGAGCTGCCGGACAGCAACACCGCAGCCGTTTGGATCTTTGTTCGTCTCGTTTTAAAATAGAAAATACACGGAATAATAACAATAATAACCTGACATTCAATACAGCGCCTTATCACGTCTTCAAGACGACTCAAAGTGCTGCGGAGCCCAAACCCATGTGAAGGCGCAATCATAGAATCATGGCTTTATACAGCCATTCAGCCCATCGCGTCTGTGACGGTTCTTTGAAAGAGCTTCAAAGTCAACCCCACTCCCCCTCTCCCCACAGCCCTGATCAACCCCACTCCCCCACTCTCCCCACAGCCCTGATCAACTCCACTCCCCCGCTCTCTCCCTATCGTCCTGTAAATTTGTCCTCCCCAAATATCTATCTACTTGTCTCTTGAAAGTTGTTATTGGATCGGCTTCCACCAGCCTTTCAGGAAACGCTTTCCAGATCCCAACATTTGTGGGCAAAATGCGACAGTCAATTGGGAAACTCAGTGTCTCACAAACAGTGGTGGATAATGTGATCATAAACCTTGCACTTGGCACAGCCTCTTTCACGTCAGGAGAACATCTCAAAGTGCTTCACAGGATTTGTTACTGTAAAGTGTAGTGACTGTGTATTTAGTAGGCGAACGTGGCAGCTGATTGAGGCTCAGCGACGTCCCACAAACAGCTGTGAAGTGAAGGACCAACACCATGAGGTGAATGACAGCCGCCTGACTGCCCAACAAAGGGCTTCATGTCATTAATCGACATAGAAACTCCGGGTTAGAAATCAAATGTGAATTACTGTTTCCCTGTGATTCCCAATGACACCACTCAATTATTCCATCAACGTTACAGTGAGCAACAGCCCCACTGTCTGTCAGAGCAGCGCTGTTACACAGTGACAATCAGCTGCTTCAAGAGGGAATATTGAGGGGTAAAAGTCTAAACATTTTGTGCCGATCACAAGATCACAAGATTAGTTTGGATCAACAAAGGCCTTTTGGCCGTCTGATCTCATCCCTTCAGCTCAGGCGCCCAACCAACACTTTGGGATGTCCTCCTGACGTGAAAGGCTCTATATAGACACCAGAGACCCAGAGACATTTACAGCACAGAAGGAGGCCATTCAGTCAATCTATCTCTGGGAATTTCCATGTGTAGGTGGGATGCACGGAATTCTCAGCCTGACACGGAGCCTGGAGAGGGCCGGAGTGATGGGTACAGGGTTTAGTGTGTGATAGGGAGCCAGTGGGGCCTGGTGAGGGCGGGGGTGATGGGGGACAGGGTTTAGTGTGTGATAGGGACCCAGTGGGGCCTGGCGAGGGCGGGGGCGGGGGCGAGGGCGGGGGTGGGTGATGGGGTACAGAGCTTAGTGTGTGATAGGGATGTCTCGAAGGTGTGATGAGGCGCTATATCAAAGGCCAGGATTATTATTATTATTCAGGTATAAGTCTTTGCTCCTGGTCAAATTCTATAGACGTTTCAGTCACACTGAGCAGAATATGATCACAGCTCAGCCAGAGATTGGCAAATAAAACAACATCAAGTAAGGCTGTAAGACTGTGCCAGTCCTGCTCGTCACTGGGCGTACAGTGTGGTGGGCACTGCCCAGCCCTGGGCTAACAGTGTGGTGGGCACTGCCCAGCCCTGGGCTAACACTATGGTGGGCACTGCCCAGCCCTGGGCTAACAGTGTGGTGGGCACTGCCCAGCCCTGGGCTAACAGTGTCCTTTTGCCCTGAGGCTGACAAGCCATTGGCGCTGGGGCTGCAGTAACCTCTCTTGGGGAGCAGCTAAAATTGCCCTTTGTCCTTTCTGATGAAAAGTTCCTTTGCACTGAGCCCAGTGAGTGACTTTGTTATTTATTCCTTATTTAATGAACTTTGTTCTCAGCCCAAACCAAACTTGACTTGGACCTTTGACACAGGGAGTGAATCTGGGCCCCATATGGACTGTGCAATGCTACGCAGTGGGGGTGGGGGGAGCTGGAGCCAACCCACAGCGGAGTGTGGGGCTACAGGAAGAGTGTGTGGTGTTGGACCAGTGAGATCCCAGTCCTGAGTTCATAATCTATTTGTTGTGCTTACAACCCATTACCCCACTGGGAGTGTTGCTGGTGTACTTGGAGCAAACTGGGAACACCCTGGGGTGCCGGGAACACCCTGGGGTGCCGGGAACGCCCTGGGGTGCCGGGAACACCCTGGGGTGCCGGGAACGCCCTGGGGTGCCCGGAACGCCCTGGGGTGCCGGGAACGCCCTGGGGTGCCAGGAACGCCCTGGGGTGCCCGGAACGCCCTGGGGTTCCGGGAACGCCCTGGGGTGCCGGGAACGCCCTGGGGCGCCGGGAACACCCTGGGGTCCTGGGAACACCCTGAGCTGCCGGGAAAACCCTGGGGTGCCGGGAACACGCTGGGCTGCCGGGAACACTCTGGGCTGCCCGGAACACCCTGGGCTGCCGGGAACACGCCGGGGTGCCGGGAACACGCCTGGGCGCCGGGAACGCCCTGGGCGCCGGGAACGCCCTGGGGTGCCGGGAACGCCTGGGGTGCCGCCGGGAACACCCTGGGGTGCCGGGAACATCCTGGGGTGCTGGGAACACCCTGGGGTTCTGGGAACACACTGGGGCGCCGGGATCACCCTGGGGTGCCGGGAACATGCCGGCGTGCCGGGAACACGCCTGGGTGCCGGGAACACGCCTGGGTGCCGGGAACACCCTGGGGTGCCGGGAACACCCTGGTGTGCTGGGAACACCCTGGGGCGCCGGGAACACCCTGGGGTCCTGGGAACACCCTGAGGTGCCGGGAAAACCCTGGGGTGCCGGGAACACCCTGGGCTGCCGGGAACACTCTGGGCTGCCCGGAACACCCTGGGCTGCCGGGAACATGCCGGGGTGCCGGGAACACGCCTGGGCGCCGGGAACGCCCTGGGGCGCCGGGAACACCCTGGGGTGCCGGGAACGCCCTGGGGTGCCCGGAACGCCCTGGGGTGCCGGGAACGCCCTGGGGTGCCAGGAACGCCCTGGGGTGCCCGGAACGCCCTGGGGTTCGGGAACGCCCTGGGGTGCCGGGAACGCCCTGGGGCGCCGGGAACACCCTGGGGTCCTGGGAACACCCTGAGCTGCCGGGAAAACCCTGGGGTGCCGGGAACACGCTGGGCTGCCGGGAACACTCTGGGCTGCCCGGAACACCCTGGGCTGCCGGGAACACGCCGGGGTGCCGGGAACACGCCTGGGCGCCGGGAACGCCCTGGGGCGCCGGGAACGCCCTGGGGTGCCGGGAACGCCCTGGGGTGCCGCCGGGAACACCCTGGGGTGCCGGGAACATCCTGGGGTGCTGGAACACCCTGGGGTTCTGGGAACACACTGGGGCGCCGGGATCACCCTGGGGTGCCGGGAACATGCCGGCGTGCCGGGAACACGCCTGGTGCCGGGAACACGCCTGGGTGCCGGGAACACCCTGGGGTGCCGGGAACACCCTGGTGTGCTGGGAACACCCTGGGGCGCCGGGAACACCCTGGGGTCCTGGGAACACCTGAGGTGCCGGGAAAACCCTGGGGTGCCGGGAACACCCTGGGCTGCGGGAACACTCTGGGCTGCCCGGAACACCCTGGGCTGCCGGGAACATGCCGGGGTGCCGGGAACACGCCTGGGCGCCGGGAACGCCCTGGGGCGCCGGGAACGCCCTGGGGTGTCGGGAACACCCTGGGGTGCCGCCGGGAACACCCTGGGGTGCCGGGAACGCTCTGGGGTGCCGGGAACACGCTGGGGTGCTGGAAACACGCTGGGGTGCCGAGGGCTGGTGAACGCCCTGGGGTGCCGGGAATGCCCTTGGGTGCCGGGAACACCCTGGGGTGCTGGGAACGCCCTTGGGTGCCTGGAACACCCTGGTGTGCCGGGAAAGCCCTGGGGTCCTGGGAACACCCTGACGTGCCGGGAACACCCTGGGGTGCCGGGAACATCCTGGGGTGCGCCGGGAACACCCTGGGGTGCCGCCGGGAACACCCTGGGGTGCCGGGAACATCCTGGGGTGCTGGGAACACCCTGGGGTTCCGGGAACACCCTGGGGCGCCGGGATCACCCTGGGGTGCCGGGAACATGCCGGGGTGCCGGGAACACGCCTGGGTGCCGGGAACACGCCTGGGTGCCGGGAACACCCTGGGGTGCCGGGAACACCCTGGTGTGCTGGGAACACCCTGGGGCGTAGGGAACACCCTGGGGTGCTGGGAACACCCTGGAGTGCCGGGAACACCCTGGGGTGCCGGGAACATCCTGGGGTGCCGCCGGGAACACCCTGGGGTGCCAGGAACGCCCTGGGGTGCCGGGAACGCCCTGGGATGCCGGGAACGCCCTGGGGTGCAGGGAACGCCCCGGGGTGCCGGGAACGCCCTGGGGTGCCGGGAACGCCCCGGGGTGCCGGGAACGCCCTGGGGTGCTGGAAACACGCTGGGGTGCCGGGAGCTGGTGAACGCCCTGGGGTGCCGGGAACACCCTGGGGTGCCGGGAACACCCTGGGGTGCCGGGAACACCCTGGGGTGCCGGGAACATATCCTTTGTGTTTTGCCGTCTTCAACCTTGAGCCCTGTAGCTCAGTGGTGAGAGCGCTCACCTCACACGGGAGAGGACCAGGGTTTGAATCCCGGGCCGGGCAAACACT